TGATTGAAAGTACATAGACTGTAAGTATACCCCATGATTGAAAGTACATAGACTGTAAGTATACCATATGATTGAAAGTACATAGACTGTAAGTATACCCCATGATTGAAACTACATAGACTGTAAGTATACCCCATGATTGAAAGTACATAGACTGTAAGTATACCCCATGATTGAAAGTACGTAGACTATAAGTATACCCCATGATTGAAAGTACATAGACTGTAAGTATACCCCATGATTGAAAGTACATAAACTGTAAGTATACCCCACGTAATGAAAGATGAAACTGGAGAAATTTCATCAGTGCCCCTAGTGGCCACCCCACTGACTGATCTATATTTAACCAGCACTGATACTATAAAATCTGCACATTAATCAAAAAATAAAATGATATACCTCAGATCATTCCTAGTTGGCTAAACTATATTTAACACGTCACAATGTCAAAGCCTTGGAGGAGTTAGAGGACAAACAAACAAATTACAGTAGGGTTACACAGCAGGAAAACATCTTTCCAAGGGACAGTATAGTTCGACCAGTCTGGCTAATGGCGCCCTCTGTAACCTGATCAGTTTAGCGATGATTAGCAATAGATGTCTACTCGTTTCAAGTAAAAAGATCTGTCCTGTCATACCTCAGTTTAAACCCTCTTTTCCGACTTAACATGGTTTTTATAAAAGAGGTCTTATATTGCACTATTGACTCTGAAAGCACTTTTTTTGTTACACTACCAGTTTAGAAATTGGTTTTCTATCACGTTATGGGTTTAGGAAGTGTTCTCTGTATTTTACTACAGGTTTAGAAAAGCATTCTTTGTCTTATAACGCATGTTTAGGAAGTGTTCTCTGTATTTTACTACAGGGTTACAAAGCTGTTTTTATCTTATAATACAGGTTTAGAAAGTGTTCTCTGTATTTTACTACAGGTTTACAAAGCTGTTTTTGACTTATAATACAGGTTTAGAAAGGGTTCTCTGTATTTTACTACAGTTTTAGAAAGCTGTTTATGACTTATAATACAGGTTTAGAAAGCGTTCTCTGTATTTTACTACAGATTTACAATACTGTTTATGACTTATAATACAGGTTTAGAAAGTGTTCTCTGTATTTTACTACAGGTTTACAAAGTTGTTTATGACTTATAATACAGGTTTAGGAAGTGTTCTCTGTATTTTACTACAGGTTTGCAAAGTTGTTTATGACTTATAATACAGGTTTAGGAAGTGTTCTCTGTATTTTACTACAGGTTTGCAAAGTTGTTTATGACTTATAATACAGGTTTACAAAGCGTTCTCTGTATTTTACTACAGGTTTAGAAAGTTGTTTATGACTTATAATACAGGTATAGAAAGTGTTCTCTGTATTTTACTACAGGTTTACAAAGTTGTTTATGACTT